ACCTGCAGCTCCTTTATCCTTGTCTTCATTGGTACCTGCGCCCTTGAGCACGCCAGAGCCGGACTTGGCCTCAACATTGTTCAAATTGTAGCGCTTGCGAATGGCACGGAAACGGTTGCCGACTGAAGCAACATTGCTGTAACCCATCATGTCTCCAACCTTGGTAAGATCGATCTGAAGAAAGCAAGTTGGTATTAGTAGAGCCTATATCTGCGATGAGAGATGATAGTACCTGTTTGTCGTCCCCCATGCACTGCAGACAGGCGAGGAAGAACTGCGCGTCTGCATAAGGGATTTCTAGACCGGCGTTAATGGGCTTCGCGCCCTTGGATTTGGTAGCCTTATCCATAGCGAAGGTGAGAGTTTTCGATTGTCTAGATGGTATAACGTAGAGAAGTTGTAGGTTAGATGATTCAGATATGAGAAGTGAGTAAAAGTAAAGGGGCTAATCACCAAGATGGAAAGGAGATGAAGAGGGACTGTTCAGGTGGTGAAAGAACAGAGACAAGTGAGAGGTTAAGCCACAAAGCCCCACTGTATAAACACGCCAGAATGTGAGATACCTCACAGATCAGTTCTCTGCTATTCCAGGTCAATTGGCGAAGCTAACTCCCGGTCCACTCTCCCAGCGTTGCTCGTGATATCTGTTGGTGGTGGTATGAGGGAAAAGTGAAGCAGGTTATAAGATGCTACGCACCGTCGATCTCAAAACTACAGCCCAACTGAAGAATGACTTCATAAGCAAAAGCAATGTCATATTTCTGTGATCAAGGTAGTTCTAGCAAAGGAACATCAGTCCTTGTGGTCGTTTGTCGAAGCCAGCAACAAATCCCCAGAAAACCCGCTTCCAGATCCCACAAGGACCGAGTTCTACCAGCCATACCAACCTCAAATGCAGAAACAAGAACTGTGACTGATGTCCTTAGTTCTCAATGACAGTAATCTCCGACTTTCTGTCCGATAGTTCCTCCTTGGCCTCCCTATCTACACTCTTGCCTTTGTCGACCGGCTCTTCTTTGATCTCGTCCAGCTTCTTCTCCTCGTCTTCTGGCTCAGACTTATAGGTCTCCCAGCCAACTGAAGCCATAGATGATGGCAAATACTGCTGCTCATGGTGCTGCTGCTGGTAATAACTACCTGCAAATCCTCCCATCGGTGTGTACATGTTGTATTCATCCATACTGTATCTGTGCGGGTAGTAGAATCCCCACGGATATGCCATATGGGGGAAGAATGGTCCCGGATGCATGGAATGAGGAGGAGCGAGAGGTATATCTGCCATACGAGGCATTGTCTCGCCGTAACTCTCCTCCTTGACCTCCTCCGTGATTTCCTCCTTAATGGGGACGAAAGGTTCAAAGTCAGGGTAAGAAGTCGCCGGCACAGTCGTGGCCCCTGCCCTACTGGAGCTAGCTCTGGCTGACCTTCTGTTCTCGACTCTCTTAGGACGCGTCACTTTCTGGCTGGGCCCTTGATTCTCCAGCTGGCCTTTGAGCCGCGAGTACCGCATTCTTGCAGCATGCCCATTGGAGATATTCAGCTGCGAGGCAACCAAGGCCCAGTCGATCTACTCAGTGGTCAGCTACTATTATTGTCTTCCAGAGCTTCATTCACGAACCGTTCTCAAGTCCAACTGTTTCATAATGGTGTACAAGAACTTTACAGCCGGCTCATCGACTGACATCATAGACTTGGTGCGTCTGTAGTTGGAAGCGGTGGACGTAGCCGATGATGGATTCGTTGGAGATGCGAAATCATTCTCGGCTTGATGATTCATGGTTAGGTCGGGCTTCATAGTACCTGCTATGCCAGAAGCACTCATGTCAGGGAGACATTCCATAGAGGATATGTGAAGGGACGTACCAGACGCACTGGGTTTGACGGTGGTTTTGGTAGGAGTTGGGCTCCGGTTTTCCATCGCCTCAACTACTCCAACGCATGTACGTGAGTAAGTTGCTGACCTCCTGTGCAAGCACAATGGAATATGGAGTGTTCACTGCGTGAGAAAGATGTTGGAGGTGAATGATGAGAGACGGATGAACATGGCTTTGGACCTGATACTTATAGACCTACATTCCAGTACCGGGATAAGTTTCGGTATCTCCTTTGTGAGTGAATCGAAGTACTGTATTCACGCTTGCCATGAGGGCTCCACTTTGTTTCTAACATAGACAGGGTATGTGCAGTTAGGCATTGGCTCCATACAGATGCCTAGCGCCCTGTTCCTGTTAATGTCACGGATTACCGAGCTTGATTGGTGCTACTAACCCGTGCATGCGGGCTAGTGAGTCGGGCTGCTGGCACAGGATTGGAAGATTGGGTGTAGCCCACCAGAAAACAAAGCCAAGGTTGGGTCTAGATGCACTCTAGGCAGTTGGTTCTGGGTAGTCTGTCTATGTTCTGTGAATACAGACAGGGTCTTAGTCCAGGTTCCCCATTTTTAGTAGGTGTTCGTTACCAGATATATGGGCTCACTTAGATATAATTGGACTTGTGAAAGATGGAAAATGTGCAATTGAACTGATATCCCATTAAGGGTGTATATCATGTCATATCTCATGGTGAGATGCTATTACAAACTATTAATATCTCTGTAGAACTGGATTGGGAGAATTAACAGAATATATACTAAATAATTTACCAGCCAAGGACAACTGGTAACGCGTGAAAGCTAAGTACTAGTAATCAACTAATGGTCTTTGTGGCTCTACTTTGCCATTGGCAGTTTCTCGAGACAGCTGTACCTGGAACATTATTTCCAAACACTACTTGTCCTGTCACCTCTAGACTTTACATGCTTTTACACGTATATTAGGACAACCTTTATGTTTGAGTAGGCAATGTAGGCACAGATAGCTGCATGATAACTTTTACTAGTAAATAAATTATACTATAATCCTGGAAACGTACCTCTGCCTGTAAACAAAAGTGGATGATTTATCTTTCCATGGAACACCAATCACACCAAAATAATTAGCTGGTAGTACCGATGTCTCATGCTATTTTTATATGTCAACTCGACTTACGGAAGATACCGTGGTTCTGTGCATATTTGCGTGGCTCTCTCCGCGATAACTAGTTACTACTAGTACTTCTCTTTGGGAGAAGCCGCCAACCGTACGGTTACTTCCACAAATGTCAAATCCTGCATAGTGAATACTTACAGGAAGGATTCAAACCTAGATTTGGTGCCACTGTTGCCTGTTCAACCATGTTTCCCTACTGTTTACTCGATCGTGGATCTCCAACTTCAGCGATGATGTCGACAGTGGGTCCTGACTAATCACAATACCCCTCTCGGCATACAAGGTGCAGATATTCTGCTTCAGTATATGATTTCTCTTTGCAGGAGTCACCAAATGAACAATATGTCCTTGGTAGCAATAGGTGCCTGCTATGTGGATACAATCCTAACGTTGGTTGGCGCCCTCTACTGTTAGTTCCCATCTTTTCCATAGCTAACTCTTCGTATCAGAACACCCCACTATCCGGGAGAAGATGATAAGCTACGAGCTTCCAGTATCTCCCATCGGCGGGGAGGTAACTGTCCAAACTCTCTGGAAGTCTTGAAGCAGTTGACAATGAACAACCCATCAACTGCTGATGTCTCTCTGAATCTGATTGCTGTCCTACCTGCGAAGGCATCTACTGCTGCCCAAGAGATTCAGTCGGCATTCAAACCGCATGTTGATCTGTCTCATTGTATCTTTCGAGAGGCCTTCAATGAGCCTGCCTCAAGTTACATCATCAAGAGTGAATCGTCTGGCAGTCGTACCATTGTCAACTACAATGAATTGCCTGAAATGACGGTGGATGAGTTTACCCAGATTGCAGGCAATCTCACCAACCCAACTTGGTTCCATTTCGAGGTTTGTCATTCAATTTATGATGCATTCTCTGGAGCTAACAGTTTAGTCAACAGGGTCGGATACCTGACGTGACTCTATCATGTATCCGATATCTCCGTCAGCGGTACCCATCCGCGACTATCAGCGTCGAGGTTGAGAAGCCTGGGCGCGAGGGTTTGCAGAACCTAGCAGAGGAAGCTGACGTAGTGTTCTACTCGAAGAGCTGGGCTCAAGTAAGTGCCCCTGGATCAGAAAGTCCACATCATGCGTTCCTCTAACCACCGACTCGCAGGGAAACGGATATCATACTGCTGAAGAATGTGTTCAGAAAGAAACGACATTGACACGAAAAGCGTATGATTCTTGCTGTAATTTACACGTTGAGTCCAAGGGTGCTAATTTTACCAGGTCGTTGCTGTGCTGCACTTGGGGTCAAGACGGTGCTGTGGCTTTTGAGCCCAAGACGCAGACTTCAGTTCATAGTCCTGCATATTCTGCAGCAAACTTTCAAGTCATCGAGTAAGTCGGCTAGGTCTTCATCACTCCCTTAGTCCGGGTTTTTATTTGTCCTTTCCGGCAATTATTGGATATTAATGACAGCTTCTAACATTGAACAAGCCCGATTGGCGCAGGTGACACTTTTATAGCCGGTATGCTATACGCACTAATCTGTCGAGGAGATGAATGGAGCCTGTCACAGAAACTGGGCTTTGCCAATCGACTCGCGGGTATAAAGGTCTCTCAAGAGGGGTTTTCAGGTCTTGCAAGAGCTTTGGAATCTTTTCCTTAGAGACGTTGTGTGTCATTGCAAAGAGTAATTTTGCAGGGTAACGGTAATAATTCGAGCAATGAAAATATGTCATGGTCGACTCAAGAGTTGGAGAGCAAAAGTCACTACGAGTGCAGCCGTTATGTTTCGTGGTGAACTAGTAGCCATCTAAAAACTACAACATTAGCAACTTATAAGCATATTGGGCGTATTATAGTTGAGGTGATAAACAATTGGCATGATTGTTATGATCACACGTGATAAGGATCTAGACTCAACTGTAGGAAAAGATGGTTGTCACGTGACTATTATCTACGGATGCGGAAGGCGGTCGCAACCAAAATTTATTCTGCCCGCAGCTTTTTCTAAATTTGCGGGCGATCAACAGATTCGGAGTCTTCAAATCCCTACAACCCATACACCATGGCATCCGTTTACAAGACTATTTCGAAGAAGGCAGCTCGTCAGCTGGCCAAGGAGGAGGAGTTTGATGAGGAGGATATCGAGATGGAGGAATTTCTCGACAATGCCGACGACACCACCGACAGTGAAAGCGATGAAGAAACTACGACCGAATCGGCCAAGAAGCAGCTCGCTCAGGGATTCATGCCCAAGACTCGTGTACTGATGCTGACATCTCGAGGTGTGACATACCGGTATGCTTGATTCCATGCTCAAATAATATATGTGCAAGCGCGAATGTGATGCTGATATTTTCTGTTTGCTGCAGCCATCGACACCTGCTCGCCGACCTTGCGTCTCTGCTCCCCCACACTCACAAGGAAAGCAAACTCGACACCAAGAAGAAGACCGCTGGATACAACCTGCTCCTTAACTCTCTCGCCGACCTTCACTCCTGCAATGTGATTTTCTTCCTCGAGGCTCGTAAGCAGGGTCAAGACTTGTACCTTTGGCTTGCTCGCCCTCCCAACGGACCGACGATCAAGTTCCACGTCGCCAACTTGCACACAATGGCCGAATTGAATGCTGGATTCAGCGGCAACTGCCTCAAGGGTGGCCGTGGTCTTGTTGTTTTCGATCGCTCTTTCGACGAACAGGGTCCGCTCATGAGCCAACCCGGCAACGAATACCGGGGTCTGATCAGAGAGATGCTGCGCGGTGTTTTCTGCGTCCCTAAGCGTGGTGTTAAGGGCATGAAGCCGTTTATTGACCGCATCATTGGTGTGTTTGGTGTGGATGGCAAGATCTGGATCCGTGTCTACGAGATCCGCGAGTCTGAGGCTGGAAAGAAGTCTGAGGATGGTGCAGATGCCAAGCCCGCTCCCAAGAGCAAGGACGGTCAGCCGGAGGTTTCTCTGGTCGAGATCGGCCCCCGCTTTGTTCTTACGCCTATTGTCATCTTGGAGGGCAGCTTTGGCGGTCCTGTCATCTATGAGAACAAGGAGTACGTGAGCCCGAACCAGGTCCGTCGCGAGGTCCGCATGAGCAAGGCTGCTCGCTACGCCAAGCGCAGAGATGTGCAGACCGACCGGTTCGCGAAGCGGTCGACCCTGGGACTGGGAGAAGGCGAGAGGAAGCCGGATGCGCTCGACACGAGGCAACTATTTAAGTGATGGATTCCCGTTTTGTTGGTTCTTTCTGTTGTTTTACGCCCTATTAGACTTGATATCCTCAAGGGATGTATATGTATTGATGCGAGGGGTACATGCATGGTCCTGCTGGCGTCTGGTGTGAAATAATAATAAAAGTTTTGATGCTACGGTTCACTATTATCCTGATCCCATGGATCTAATCATAGAATACACAGCCCGTAGACTTCTTGGGTGGATTAACATCGTTGCTATGGGCCTCGCTGATTGGGTAAACGGGGACAGGTCAGTCTTTCAGCTTGCCAAGAAAGGGTATGACTTGCAGCAAGGGAGGCCTTGAACTAGTGTGCTGTATTTTCGCAAGCTATATGTCGCAATCTGACTTAGAGTACGGAGTAGCTGGTGAACCAATGGAGCCATGGCGCATCTGCGGAGGACGGAGCGTCGGTCTGGCTGGAAAGCGGAATGATGAAGGGGATCCTGTCAAGTGACTTAGCGGCGGGTCTCCCTTTGCCTGCCCCGGATTTCCTCAGCGCAACTGCACCCTTTCGCTCGTCATCATGGCATCCCTTTCGCAATACAGCGCTGGGTGGTTGCTGGGTGCTCATGCACCTTCTTCCACAATGGCCTCCACTCTGTCTTGCTTCCACTGTGAATTGATCACCCCCAAGGGCGGGGTCGCGACCTAGAGTTAGATCGTGATCGCGACGGCGTTGACTCACTACAGCGCCGAGGCTACCTCTGCCTAAGACTCGCAATTGAACAATATAACTCTTTCCATACCATTTGACCAAAATTAACTGTATTAGGTACGCGTGGTCGGTCCATAAGACCTACTGGTGTACTCCGTATTTGCTGACGCCTCTAGATCCTTCAACCCATTGAACCATGCCCTTCCATCAATTGGCCACGGAGCTATTGCTCCATATATTTCGCTCATGCGATTCAGTCACCGATGTTATGAACCTTGCAATGACTTGCCGGCGACTTCATACCGTTTTCCACCGGTCCAATAAGCTACAAACCCTCGTTGATGTTGCCGAGTCTGAGTTCGGTCCATTGGATGATATCATCCAGATCGTCACACAGAATACCAGCCAACGTGCCCACCTATTTCGTACCGCCCCTATAACCAACTCCCTCCTTAAACAAATAGTCCAGATTGGGCACGTGGCCCAGAAGTGGGAAACCATATACCCGGTTAAGAAATGGAAGACCGATTTTGAGAATCGTCGCTCGCTGGATGATGATGAGCGGTTCCGTCTCCGCCGTGCAATCTATCGTCTCTGGCTGTACCACCGAGCCTTTCATACGGAGTCTTATAGTCGGTTCAGCCGCACCCTTCCACACATCGTTTCCGAGCGTGCCCAACTCTTGCACAACTGGTCTACAGCCGAGCTGGCGGAGATTGAGGACGTGCGTTTAATCATCGGTGATATTGTGCAGAACCACATCTGTCCCAGCAACGGGACCATTCAACGCAAGTTCCGAAAACGCTATCCGGAAAGTAACCATCAATTGACGTTCAATATCCATCTAAATTATCCTTCGAGCAGTAGTCCCGCTGGTGCACCTAGTCTGTTCGAGAAGAACCCCAATTCGGCCGAGCAGTATTTCCACACCGCGCACCCTAGCAACTTCACTGAATCGCCCGCTAAATATAAGTCGCGGTTTCGGAACGATTACTTCCATGACCCTGGTTCTGAGGGTTGGGGTGACGAGATCCCACATTATTATGTTGTGCAAGACATGCTGAAACTCGATCCAGGCCAGGTGATCTGGCTACGGGAGCATGCACTTCTCAAGGAACAGGTGGAGACTTATGTACGCTCTTTTGGGGACTGGTTCCGCGACAATGGCGAGACCTTTGGCGATACGCTAGAGTGGGTGATGAAAGAGCGGGGAGATGATATTGATGAGTTTCGAGCTGCTATTGCAGACCGGGAGCTAGGCGTGGTGTGGGATTGATGTGATGCAATTGTGTATGTTTGTTTGCTGTCATATCGCGTAGCATATTGGTTACTGTAGGAGACATGTTACTGTTACAATAGCCAGAGAGTGGAGACTACTAGTAGCAGCTGTGCGATGGTAGCGTTGTCCCTTGTGTGACTACTTCCAAGGTTCTCAGATTCTAGTTACTCTTCACTGATTGGTAACTTACATTCTCGAAAGCCCAGTGTCTGACATATACAGGCATCTGATCTCGCTTCGACAGTAGACAGTATACCATGCACGCCAAGCAAACGACTGACTTCCTGCCATCTAGACGCAAGTAACTAAGTATCCATTCTGACCCATCATCCCGTTCCTGACATCTAATTCTACAGTAGTGCGTACAGCAAAACAGACATAATCGCAACTCTAATGAGAATACATACCTGAAACCCCCTAATCAGCTCTTACTACCTACCTGCACATCGACCGATCATCTCTCACCCACGTGTCAAGACCCAGAGCATAAGAGCAACCGTAGCTAGTAAACTATCTATCTAGTAGATAGCTAAGTACCTGTCAAACGGAACTCTATTCCGTTAATCAATAACTAGTCATTACTATTACTATCTGTCTTTGCTATAACTAGGCATCCCACACACCATATCACTCAACCTTGAATACAATCCAGCATGCAAGTAACTAATACGCAGCTGAATAGCCCCCAACTCACCAACAAATGCAAAGCAGTCAGGTCAGGAAAAACAACCCCCCTCCCCCTAGTCAATTCTCACCTTCACCTCCCCCCCCCCCCTGATCAACCCAGTCTAAACCAGACGGGGAATAAATTCAGCCGCGGCGGCTAACAGTGGGTAGGAGTGAGTGGAGACCGCTGTGAAGGGGAAGGGAAGGGAAGGAAAGGAAGCACCTTGAAACCGAGGCGGTCTTACATAAGGAATTGCCGGGGTGGTTGGCTAGTATTTAGTAAGTATGAGTGGGGGCTGGAAAAGGTGGCTGTGAAATTGTGCAGTACGTATCTGTGTACATAATTCATTTATCATTCAGATATTCCCCTACATTATAACTTATGATGGTCGAGTGAGTACCGTGTGTAGCGATGAGAGAGAGAGAGAGAGAGGAAAGAGAAAAGTAGCTGTGGAGCTCCCGGGTCAAAAGTGGGCCGGGGGAGTGATGCCCGCATGGGGTTGGCGAATTATTAATGGCTAGTAACGGGCAAACCAACGGGCGTCGGGCCCCATCCGAGGCGGCCAGAAGGGACGATTGCTTGCTTTGCTTTTCTTTACGGGTCACTTTTTATTATTTTATTTTTTTTTTTTTTCTCTTTTTTTCTTTCATTGCATTTATAGGCGAGTAATCTTAGCAAAACACACTGTGCATACCGAACAGACAATCCTGTAGAGCCACGGATAAGACGCCGAGGGGAAAGTGGGGAGATACAACAACATTCGTTAAACCAAATAGGGTTTTGGGTTTCCGTCATCAGGCAGACATCATGGGGGCAAAAGCAATAAGACGTTATTCAGATCAATTTCTCATCAGGTTAGAATATAGGGAAAGAAAAAGAGGAAAAGAGGTGGAGGAAATCAACAAAAAGGGGAGTAAAAGAAAAAAAAAAGAGGAAAGTGATGAAAAGGGAAACAGAAGATATAAAGGCAAAGCGAACAAGGTGTCGGGAGAATGTGATGTCCAACAAACACCGCCGTACAATGTCCATGACCCCAGGTGCCATTCCTAACAACGTCCCTCTTGTGTATCATCTCCAGGAGGCTAAGTAACAGACAAAAAGAGAGTTCAAGACCGTTCAATTATCACATCACAAAAATAAAAAGTCGTTGCGGTTGACGTGTCACACATTCCCCGATCTCGTGGCCCCTTAACAGCATCCCTGCTTGGTCTTCGGGTCCTCCGACTCGTCGATCCGCACCATATCGCGGCGGTCGCCCAGAACGGTCTGGCCGGCATCACCGCCATCCAGAGCCTTGCTGGAGACGATGCGGTAGATTTCTGAAAGTAACAATGTCAGCATGACGAAGTTCGTCTGGCAAACGGATACACGGGGGCAAGTCTAACCTGTCAGGATGTTCTGGAAAGCAAGCTCGACGTTGCTGGCGTCAAGGGCGGATGTCTCGATGAAAGAGAGGTTGTTCTCGCCTAGTAGTATGTTAACACACCAGCAAATTCAACTCATGGGTCGCCATCGGCGAAGGTCCCAACATACTCGCAAATTGCTTGGCCTCTTCCGTGGGCACAGCCCGCAGGTGCCTCAAATCACTCTTGTTACCAACCAGCATGATGACGATGTTGGAGTCGGCATGATCGCGGAGTTCCTTCAACCACCGGTTGACATTGTCGTAGGTCTGGTGCTTACTGATATCATAGACGAGAAGAGCACCGACAGCACCCCGATAGTAAGCGGAGGTGATGGCACGGTAACGTTCCTGACCAGCAGTATCCCAAATCTGAGCCTTGATCGTCTTGGAATCGACCTGGATCGAGCGGGTAGCGAACTCGACACCGATGGTGGACTTGGAGTCCAGATTGAACTCGTTACGGGTGAAACGACTCAAAAGGTTGGACTTTCCAACACCAGAGTCTCCAATCAGGACAACTGTTCAGAACAAACCGTCGTTGGTTAGCCGTGTATCGCGAAATGCGGCCGACAATAGAGGCGACGGGATCGAGCGGCGACTGCGGAGACGGGAAGTGGCAACTTTACCTTTGAAGAGAAACTACCAAGTAACCCGTTAGTTATACTGTTGCTTGGCAAGGGGTGCGAATGGGAGAAAGAGGATACTCACATCGTACTCGTCGTTAGCCATGAGGGGTGGTTTGCGAGAGCTCGCTTAGCTTTGTTACACGTAAGATCTAAAGGACTGGGAAGGGATACGACGTGGTCGAGCTTGGAGGGGAGGTTTGGAGGCTCTTTGAAATGAAATCCGGGCAATAGAGTGTGTCTGACTTTCTGAGAGGAGGGGCGCAACGTTGTCAGCTTTCAGGACCACATCCAAGGGACAGAGGGCACTCGGGGGGAGCGAGGAGAAGGGATGTTTAAAAGTAACCGACGGGAGGCGGGAACGGAGGAACTTACCGATGAGTGTAGGGGGAGGCAGGCACCGGGGCAGGGAGATTAGGAGGTTATCCAGACTGACTTTCTCCCTACGGATTCCCGTCCGTCGTTCGCAGTGCCGAGTGCACTGTCGCCCCTTCGGGCCTAGCGCCGGATCACGTGCGCGTATGCAGGTGGGCGGCGCGAGGACTTCAGTCCCTGATCTATTGATCAATTATTGTAAGTATCCTGTTGGGGGAGATCGCAATCCACACGGACAGCTCCTTTAGGTGCACTGTATGTGTCCGTAAGTGTGTGTTTGTGTGACCTGGTTGTACTCCATCCCATGATCGGTCCTGCAGTTCTTCCGCTGTATGTTTGCCGTGCACACTTGCCAGTGCGAATCTAATCTACATTTTGAATCGCGCTTACATGAGCAGCTGGCTGGCTTAAAACAACTACCTATTCATTGGTTTCAAGTCCAGCTCACACGGCCCACTATGCTATGTTAAGTGGCTATCCTGTAGCTTAATTGGCGTCTCTGGCTCTCTGTTGCGCCCTGCATTCCTTGGGCTCCACATATCAGAAAATCCTTACGCACCCAATTCCATTCAGTTTCAGTGTTGCTGTACAATCCGGCAATGACAAGGAGGCAGGATGAGAGTGATGATGATATTTCCATCACCTCAACTGCGGCCAGCTCACAGGCTTCTGAGTATGATGTGGAAGCTATCTTAGCTGAGCACGAATTCCCAGACGGAAAGAGGTATCTGGTCAAATGGGCCAACTACCCTGATTGGAGAAGTACGTGGGAACCTGTGGAATCCTTCAAAACGGCAGAGACCCTTATCGACTGGCAACGCAAGAAACAGCAGATTGCAGATGGGAAGCTTGAAGCGTATGACGTAGCCAACTGGGAGCGAAAGAACTTGAAACACCAGGAGGCAAAAGAGCGAAAGAGACGCAGAAGGGATCTCAAAAGGAAACGGCTTGGCTTACCCACGAAGGGCCCCGTGGTTGAATCTTCAATCCCTCGGAGCAGCTCCCGTGTGAGTGCAAGACAACAGAGTACACAAGCGCCGCCCACTTACACACCCAGCATTCGCTCACTGCCTTTCAAAGAGCAGCATGCCCTGGCGAAGCAACCGCCGGTCCTGTTTGGAAGTGGACAAAAACCAAAGCCAGCGCTAGCGCCAGCATCAGCTACGCTGCGTTCCAACAATGCCCAGGAGACTGCGAAGTGGTTTTCGCACCTGTCAACGAGGCGAAAACACGAGAAAGCTAAATTCAGAGAGCCAGATCCCAATATTGATCAACTAGAGCTTGTTCGACCGTCAGACTGGTCGTCTAAAACACCTCTGCACCTTCTCAAGTCCGGTCCTTGCCATGTTAGCCCATCTGTTGACCAAAATCGAGATTCAGTCCAAATCGTGACTGACCAGTCTGTTCCACCCACGGAGGTTGATCACTCAGATGCACCTGCTCACTTATCCAGCCTGCTCAGTGATCCGCCAAATCAAGACCGGATCAAGTACGACCGTCGCGATAAATCGGGCCAAGATGTCCCCGAGCTACCTCGTAGGGTGCCGGGTCCCTATGCTAAATTCGTGTCCGGCCGCTTTTGCAATCCCGGTGAGGTGTTAGTATATATGTATTATGGACCAGACAAAAGGTCCATTGGCCCAGCTAGACTATGTGGTCTTAGCCCCACGTCTGCTAAAAGGCTTATCGCAACTAAGGCGGGGCAATACATTGAGGTTTGGTTTCAGCATCTCTGCACGCTGGAGGATTACGAGGTTCTCTGTTATAACTCAGTACGTGCTTTGGCGATATATCATGAGTCTTATTTGCTGATTTGAACAACTTTAGCGGTCGCGGCATCGCACATATTGTAGGGGCTGGATTCAGGGCTTCAATGATACGGAGTCCAAAATATATAATATGGCACAGGAGCTTGAGCAAGGCGACC